CCTCGCGTCTCGCGCAGTGCGGAGTCCTCCTCCTCCTCCTCCTCCTCCTCCTCTCCCCTCCTGTCCCCGCCGCCTTCCGCCCCTCCTCCTCCTCCTCCTCCTCGTCCTCCTCCTCCTCGCGACGTCGCATCACCCAGTTTTAGGGCAGGCAGGCGCCGCTGCAGGAGGAGCATTCAAGCATCGCAGAAAAATGGCCAGGGGACGATTTGTTTCGTGATCTTTTGACTCTTTTTGATAATTTTTGTTTTTTTTTGTTTCCCCGATCTCTTCGTCCAGAATCCGTCTGTAGGAGGACATGCCCGACCTAAACCTAGTTGTCAATACATTGAGCCTCCGGCTTCTGATGGCATGCATCCTTCTCTGCCGCCGGTGCCGCGGTGTGCAGGTCTTCGTGGCCGGGTTCGCTCTCACGGGCTTGCCGATCATCGTCCTCGCAGGCTTCGATGTTTTTTGTGGTTTGTATGCGCCGCGCTGCAGAGTCCCAGCGAAAGGCAGTACCTGGAGGAGGGTCGAGGAGGAAATGGAGTAGCAGCAGGAGGGGGAGGAGAGGCGCCAGCGTCGAGGAGAAGATGCCGAGGACGGAAGAGAGGGGGGGACGGACAGGGGGTCGGGAGCAGTGGGCACGGGGAGGACGAGGAGCTGACAGTCAGGACGAGTGTGACTTCCACGAGGATGAGGATGTGCAGGAGGAAGATGATGCCTTGGAGGACGCCGAGGAGGATGAAGAATAGGAGGAGGAGGAGGAGGAGGAGGAGGAGGAGGAGGAGGAGGAGGAGGAGGAGGAGGAGGAGAAGGAGGAGGAGAACTGCGAGAGGATGAGGAGTAATGAGGGAGGAAGAGAGCGAGGGGAGCGAGCGCGAGTCGGGCGAGCCTATGAGGGAGGGGCTGAGGAGAAGGAGGAGGCCGAGGGAGGGCTCGGGCTTCGCCGGCCTCGCGGCGATTCGATGCCGAGCCGCGCGCAGTCGGTCCGGGCCTCTGCGGCCCAGGCTCCGTCTTGCGTCCTCGCCGCGGAGGGAGGGCCGCGGCCGTCTTCTGGGTGCCGCCGCGAGCGGCCCCGCCGAGCAGAGGGCGCGGCACTCCTCCGGCCGTGCCTCCGCGGCCTCCCTCCTCGCCCGTCCTCGCCGCCGCGCGTGCGCCAGCGACGGGGCAGGGGCGGCGTGGAGGCAGGCTCTCGTGGGCAAGGATGCGTGCCCAGGCCAGACGTGCCCCGGGGCGCCAGGCGGCGGCCGGGGCCGCGCCCGTGGGCTTTGCACTTTGCTGCTGCTGTTGCCTCTCCTCTTGCTCTCCCCCCCACCTGCTGCTTTCCTCTTCTTAGCCACGGGGCGACCTCTCGCGCAGGTTTGAAAAAGTGCCCTGACCCGTCGTTGGACATCGGCACGTCGGCGCGAGCGGCGTGAAGCCCGTGGAGCTGCGCTCGATCTCAGGCGTGCGTGGTGCCGGCAGTGTGGTCATCGCTGGCAGATGTGAGCCTCGCCCGCACCGCTAGCACTGTCTCACGGATCGGAGGCCTGTCTTCCGCAGAGTGGATTTTTTAGGGCAGAAGGTGGTGGGACAGCCTCTACGTGAGCATACGGTAGGTTTGCGTCGCGTGGACTGGCGGCGACCCCGCCGCTGGCGTTTCGACCCAGAAGCGTTCGATGTTGAACGGTCTGACGTTCTGGAAACGGCCGATTGTTCAAGGCTGAGCGATGCCCGCGGTGTCAGGGACCAACGCCGGGGTCGACACGACGCGAACCCGCCGTGCGCCAGTCTGGGAGGCCAGCGGCGCGTAACAGGACCCAGGGGTCGCGATCGTGCCAGCGTCCCCCCCCGTCCAGGTCACGAGCGACTGATGGCCCTGAGGCAGAGGGGACTGCTGAGGCCCTCGGCGATGTGCGGACCGCCCTCCACGAGCACGATGGATGTGACAAGATCGGGGATCCAGCTGTTGACGGCGAACAGTGCTCGATTGGGGAAGGCCCCAGGAACAAGTTTGTAAGGTTCACGCGCAGATGGCAGGGTCTAGGTCCCAGATTGAGTCGCGCGACCCCCCACAGAGCTTTGTCCTGGCCCAGGCTCACCCAGTGACCTTTTCAAAGGCGAGGTGTGCAGCGAATGCCAGGGTGAGTGGCAACGGCCAGGCGCGATGGAGTGCGATGCCAGAGGCGGGGGAGAGTCGGCGGCAGGGGGAGTGCCCGCAACGACACCAGAGGTTGCCCAGCTACGCCCAGATCCTCACCCTGGCATGGCCACACTTGTTCGCCCATCGATCGAAGCACTCGTGGCGGCCATGAGCAGCCGAGCAGATACTGGGTGGACCCCTGCTGAGCTCGTAGCCCCATCGCAAGCCCCACCTGCGGCGTTGGAAGAGCTCCACGGGCCAGCTTGAGCCATCCCCTGGTTCGTGTCGAGGCTGCAGCAGACTGGACTCAGTTGAGCCGGATCGACTCCGCGACGGTCTCAATGCTTACGAATGCAGTGACGCTTCTCACGTATTTGCCTGCCTGCTCTGTCGGTTTTATACATCTGGAGCGCAGGCTCCAATGGTCAGTGGTAACAAGAACTCGAGGAGTACCAAGCTCGGCAAGCATCCTGACAAGTCATACACAGGGAAGGTCTTACGGCTGGTGCCGCCGACCCTGAAGGGGGACGACGGCGGCGGCGGCGACGACGTCGACGGCGACGCTGACGCTCTGGAGCCCTTCTTGAGGCTCTCTTGGGAGCCTCTTGGGCTCTGCTGGGGGGTTTCTTGGGGTACTCCTTGGGAGGCTCCGTGGTCACTTGGAGCCGCCTTGGAGCGGATGTGAGGCCTCGTGGAGGCATGCGGAAATGAGGAGGGTGCCTCCGTGTGGGGTGTCCAGAAGGCAGTGGTGATGGTCCTGGGAGGCCGAGGGAGGGGTCCTGAGCTCCCCTGTCCGCAGGGAGACCACCCCCATGTTCCCCTTCCTGGGAGAGGGCGCACGACTTCGTGGACCTCCCCCGCTGCCCCCCGCGGGGCAGGGGCAAGGAACAGGGATGATGAGGAAGAACGGTAGCGTGAGGAGCCAGGATTCTGACGAGGACGAGGAGGGTCCTCCTCCACCTCTTCCCTCTCCGTTTCTTTCTCTTCCACTCGTCGTTGTCGTCCTCCTCGCCATCCCTATGGAAGAGGTGGGTGTGAGATGAAGAGTCCGCGAGAGCTCTCCCCGCCGCGCACGGCCAGTGTGGGGCCTCTGGAACAAGAGGGAGGTCCTCCTGCGGCTCTACTTTGGCCCGCGCGCCCTTGCCGCGAGGAGGAGGAGGAGGAGGAGGCGGAGGAGGAGGAGGAGGAGGATTGCCAGGATTTCCGCCATCACGTAGAAACATCAAGAGCTGGCAGCGCCTCTTGACCTTGAAGTTGAGCAGGACGGCCAGGAACACGAGACGTCCGAACTGGATGAACAGCCTCACGAATACCGCACGCCATCGATGTGACAGATCTTAGCCGTGCACTTGCATGTCATGCACGCCACCAAAGGACAGTGGATGTGACATTCCACTCTTCCACCACTTGGAAACTAGAACTCAGAAACCTTCTTTGCTGAAACCAAGATACTTCTGTTTCTCGACACTTGTCCGCACGCGAAGTTGACCACCATAACACATCGTTACACATGACGCGAGACGCGGTCAAGGGGGGGTGCCAGGAGGGCGTTCTAGGTTGAAGCCGTGGATTCTTGGGCGCCCCCGCGGCCGCGGGACGCGGTCACTGGGGGAGTGCGGGCTTTCGCGCGGGAGCGGGGTTGGCAATGGTGCCTGGACCGTGCGCGCTGGTAGCAGCCCGTGTCCACGGCTTGGAAGAGTAGCTCTCCCTTCGTCTCGGCCACGCTCCCAGCTCGAGGGGGAATGCAGGAGGAAGTATTCCCGCTTCCGCGCGAGCCACATTCCTGGTCCGAACTGGCGTTTTTGCTTTCGTGTGGGCTGCGTTCCTGTGCCCGCCTCGTAGCTGTTGGCCGTACTCCAGGCCAGATCGAGTTCTCGCTTCAGCGCCAGCCGCATTACTAGCCTGGACTGGCGGTCCCTCCCAAACGCTGGTCCCATTACCACTCTAGAAGTATTACGGGGTAGTCATCGACGCGGTCTACGGTTTCTCTTGGGGTCAGTTGGGGCCCTGTTGGGTTCCTCTCATGTCTCAGTTGGGCGCCTTCGGGCGATTTCATTTTCAGATGCCCAGACGGAGCGAAGGCGACACTCCCACTACCAATGTTAATCATACATCGCACTCCGCGCTTGCGCATGCCAGTGAGGGGGGGAGGGTGGTGCTTGCCCCCAAACATGAACCCCCATTGCAGCCCCCACGTGTAGCCTCCAATGTGTGGCGCCCACCTATGACCCTCAACTTTGCCCCCGAAGTGTGTGTGTGTGTGTGTGTGTGTGTGTGTGTGTGTGTGCGTGAGGATTCGCATGCACGTGTGCTTGTACACACGCATGTGTGCAGTTTCATCCAAGGAGTCGTGGACTTCGCACTTGAAGTCCGAGGCTCAATGGAACCCGAGCGCGCGAAACGGGCGGCGCGCGCGTGATTCTAATATTCTTGACCTGTGGATGTGTGTATGTACACGCATCGCCCATGGTTGGTGGTGGTGATGGCATTCTCTGCCCCTTTGGCCGCGAGGCTACTTCTTCCTCACGATCTTGCGCCTCGGACCGCCCAACGGCGGAGGATCGGATGGAGGAGCAGGGGAGCAGGGGAGGCCGAGGGAGATGGCGGGAGGGGGTGACGCCGCACCGGGAATGTCTCTCTTTCCCAGCGCAGCACCGAGGCGAGGAAGGTTTGCACGCCTGCAGGGGCCCCCATGGGCTCAGGAGCGGTGCGTGGGGCGGGGCCTGCACGTCGTGCATCCCCTGCGGGGGGGACAGGGGGAGGGCAGACGAGGGGAGGGCAGGGGAGGGCAGGAGCGGGAGGAGGAGGAGGAGGAGGAGGAGGAGGAGGAGGAGGAGGAGGAGGAGGAGGAGGAGGAGGAGGAGCAGGAGTGGAGGGGTCAATGGGGGCGGGCACGGGG